GTTGTCATGACTTTTCCTATAACCACACATACAGAGTGAGGTTTAAGCACAGTCCACTACTGAAGAAATGGGCTTGGCATGCTGGCCTGACTGCAAGAGAGGCATGGCCTTGCAAATCAGGATGAGCCATGCATGCTCCAGAACTGAGTCTTCTCTGCTCAGCACTGCAATGAGTCCCCTTACTTCCCAGGGGAAAGTCCTTCCATAATCCATTTATAAATCCATTCCTCCATCCTCCACAATGAAAAACACAAAAGCCTACTTGATCAGTTACTTTTCTATTACTGTGATAAAGCACCATGGCTAGAAACAACTTATGAAATGAAGAGTTGACTTGGGCTTACAGTTCCAGAGGGAGAAGGGCCCACTGAGCCTGGGAAACATGTGTCAACTAGAGTAGAAACTGAGGGTTCACATCTTGAACCACAAGCACAAAGCAAAGCATGAACTGGAAATGAGACGAGTCCTTTTACTCTCAAAGCCTGCCTCCCTGACATATTTTCCTAAGAGTGCCACCAACTGGAAATTAAGTGTGCAGTTATTGTGGTAGTTTGGATGAGAAGGCCCCCATAGGCTCATATCTTTGACTGTCTAGTTCCTAGTTGGTGGAAGTGTTTGGGAAGAATTATAAAGTATGGCCTTGTTGGAGGAGCTGCGTCATTGGGATGAGGGGTGAGACTTCAAAAGCCCATGCTAGGCCTAGCCTTGCTCTCTCCCTCTACCTCCAACTTGCAGACCAAATGTGAGCTCTCAGCTACTGCTCCAGCACCACGCCTCTCTGCCTGCTGCCATGTCCCCTGCCATGATGGTCATTGACTAATCCTCAGAAACTGTAAGCCAGGCCCAATTAAATTCTATAAGCTGCATTGGTCATGATGCCTCTTCACTGTGATAAAACAGACCTATCTTTCTCTCCTGCCTTCCTATTGGCCTTTCAGCTCTTTATTAGGCCAATCAGGTGCTTTAAACAGGCACAGTAGCACAGCTTCACAGAGTTACACAAATGCAGCATAAAAGAATGCAACATTAAATGCAACATCATTAAACCAGCATTCCACAGTGCAAAAGAATACAACACACCTTTAACTAATATTCTACAACATTACTCCATTTTCCTTTTAGGTAAATTTTTATTTATTTCTGTATTGGTCCCTATAGTGTTTGCTTTAATCATGCCCCAAGCTAAAAGTTAAGCTAAAGGTCAACTTGTTTTGTTTTGTTTTTTTTAATTCATTCTTCCTCTATAATCTAGAGATTCACATGTCATAAACTGTTTCAGTTGTTTCCTGGAATGTTATTGAAACTGTCTGACCATAAACCCACAACATTACTTTTCCCATGATAATAAAAGTAACTGAAAATTTCAGTTTTGTAATCACTTGTTCACCTGCTACAAAGAGGAGTCCTGATTTTAGTCTTGGTTGCTTGTATCTCCTATTCCTGAGGAGACTGTAAGTTCGGCCTGTTTGCAAAGTACTTTTTTTTCAAACCTTACAACATCTTAGTGTTAGCTCCTGCTTTGTTTTGTTTTAGATTTTTTTTATTCGGTTGGTTTTGGTTTTGATGGTTTTTTTTTTAGGTTTTTATTTGTTTGTTTTGGGGGGAGGTTGGTTTTTGTTGTTGGTTTTTGTTTGTTTGTTTTACGGGGAGGTTGGGTTTTGTTGTTGTTTGTTTGGGGGAGATGTTTTGTTGTGTTTTTGTTTGTTTGATTGTTTGTTTTTGGCTTTTTAACACAGGTTTCTCTGTAGCATAGCCCTGGTTGTACTGGAACTTGCTCTATAGATCAGGCTGGCCTTGTAGACCAGGCTTGCCACCACTACGCAGCAAGAGTGATGCTCTCCTTAACGACACTCGTCTCCTTAACAATTATACTTCTCTCTTCCAGCCCAAGCCCTGGACACAGCAGGCATCCTAGTGCCCTCTCCTCTCCAGACTCTACAGTTTGTATTTTATTCATCCCTCTTGCTCTTTTTCACTGTAGACACGCGTAACTGTTACCAGTAACAACCGTATACAGATTCAAGATTATGCTGTCCTGAAATTTCTTCCACTAGAGAAATTAGCCCAATATTTTAAAATTTGACCTCGGATAAGTTCTTAGGACAAGGGCAGAAAGCAGCCAGTCTCTTTGCCAAATTATCACACAAACGGCTTAAAGCCGAGTTGGCAATATTGTTCCCCTCTGAAATCTCTTGAGCTGGACCTCTACATTCTAAATTGTTCTTAGTACTACTGACTTTCAGGGTCTGATTAGAATGGCCCTTTAAGCTGTACTTAAAGCACCCAATCATTGTTCTAGTCTAAAGTTCCAAAGTCTTCCACATTCTAAAACCCAACATGGTCAGGTTCTTGGAAGCAAAATCCTGTTCCTGGTACCAACTTCTATGTTAGTTACTTTTCTGTTGCTGTAACAAAATAAAAACAAAAAACTAAAAACAGAATCGAAGGCAACTTAAGGAAGACAGTGTTTATTTTTGCTTGCAGTTTCAGAGGAATAAGAGTCCCTCAGCGCAGGGAGGCAGAGCAGCAATTGTCAGGCACAGTGGCAGGGACAGAATGCTGAGAGCTCATATTGTCACAGGCTAGCATGAAGTAGAGAGAGGAAGTGGGGCAAAGATGTAATCTCTTAAAGCTCACCCAGTGACATGCATCTTCCAGCAAGACTGCACCTCCTAAACCTTCCCAAACAGTGTCACAAACTAGGATCCAAACGTTCCAATACCTGAGTCTGTAGGGAACATTTCTTTCTGTTTGTTGCTTGGTTGGATCTTTAGGTTTTGTTTGGTTGGTTTGGTTTGGGGTCTTTTTCGAGACAGGGTTTCTCTGTGGCATAGTCCTGGCTATCCTGGAACTCACTCTGTAGACCAGACTGGCCTCAAACTCAAAGAGAGTCCCTGCCTCTGCCTCCTGAGTGCTGGGATTAAAGGCACATTCTGCCACTACCCAGCTGGGGAACGTTTGTAATCAAAATCACTACAGCTGCCTTCCTGGAGCTGTATCTGGACCTAGCAGAGAGACAGACAATAAGTACATAGATGATACAATGAATATCATTCAGTAAATATGTGATACATAAATATATAATATGTAAATATGTATGATGTATAATCATAGATATGTATTAATACATAAACAATGGTTAATATCAATCTAATACAAGAACAAAATACAGTTATATATAGTATATAATACATTAAATGTATGTCTAAAACATGCAATAATTAGGGGTGTGATACATCAATTGCATGTGAAATACACAAATATAATAAAGTGTGATACAGACAGTATATACATACATAGACACACATGTTATAGATTAACACATAACATAATATAATAAGTATGTGCAGAAAGATGGGGAAATTGAGAAAGCATGAAAAGAAAAAGAGGACTTGAGTTCTAGTTTGTATTTTCTACTGTTGAGAGTTGAGACTTTCTTCTTTCTTTATTTTGGTTTTATGAGACAGTGTCTATGTGACCCTGGATACACTAGAACTCACTATGTAGACCAGGCTACCTCAAACTCACAGAGATCCACCTATGTACCACTATGCCTGGCTAAAGGATCAAGATTTTCAATACAACTGCTCAAATAAACGTCACCTACAAAGACAGTATTTCTGTTCTTAAGACATCTCAAATTAGAAATGTGTTTCCTGAGTCTGGAGAGATGGTTCAGTGGTTAAGAGCTTGGGCTGTATGGGTGCTGGGGATTTGAACTCGGGTCCTAATGCTTGTAGAGCAAGCACTTTACCCACTGAGACATCTCTCCTACACTCTCAAATAAGAATTTCGTAAACAAGTGCAATATGCTTTCTTAGGGACAGAACGTTTATAAGTTGTTTCATTTTGTCTTAAGGCCCAGGGTCTCATATACCCCAGGCTGGCCTCCAACTTGCTGTGTAGAAGATGACTTTGAACTTCCGATCTTCCTTGTACCTCTACACCAACGTGATTACAACGTGATTACAAACTGTGTGGTTTAATCAGTGCTACAGAGTAAGCCTGTGACTTGGCACATGCTATGCAACCAGTCTGTGACCCTTTGTTTTGTTTTTTTTTTTTTCCTTTTGTTTTGAAGACAGGGTCTCGCTATGTAGCTCTGGCTATCCTAGAACTCACTCTGTAGACCAGGCTGGCCTCAAATTCAATGTCAGCCATCTCTCTCCCATAGAACTGAACAATGTACCTCATAAACCACCTTACAAACTCAGTTACAAAAGGAAATTCTATAAGAGAATGAGTAAACCAGCTCACATTATTTTTATTTAACTTTTAAACTTTACTTAATCTTTAACTTTGTTTAAACTTTGAACCTGGCTATAAATTATATCCTTTGAGCAATGTAATTTCAAAAGCTGCAAAATCATACATAGCTGTAGGAAGCCACCTGGAGGCACAGGTGGTCCTGCAGTTTGGAGGTATACCTGGCTTAGCCACGTGGGGCTGAGCACCCTTGCCTGCACCCTTGCTTGCACATGCTCAGACCAGCAGAATGGCATTAACCAATCAGGACAGCGTTCAAGCCTCTCCACCGTTTAAAAGCAGCTGCCTCTGGGCTCTACTTCCGCTCTCTCTAAGCTTTCTCTTGTCCCTGCTCTATCTTCCCTTCCCCCAATTTTCCTCAATCAAATGCTCCGAATAAAGACGTGACCAGGGAAGGAATTCTCGTTTTTAGTGGCGTTCATTCCTGCTGGTCAGGATGCGCGTCGCACATAGCTACTGCCAGTGTTAACTGAGAATCTGGAGGTCCTATTCTGGAGCCTCAGTACCCTGAGAAGAGGACTCTAAAGCGGACTAGAGAACTCTTCGGCTAAGGATTTGAGAGAACATCAACAGGGCAAGTGTTTTATTCGTATGGGTTCTTCAGAGGGACAGAGCTGATAGAAAAATATATGTATATATATATATATATATATATATGTATATGGGATTTATTAGAGCGGTCTCCTCAACCTTCCCAAAAAGTACCACCAACTGGGACCCAAGTCTTCAAATACCTGAATCTCTGGAGGCATTTCCCATTAAAACTACCACATCTGCCTTCCTGGAGCTTGTGTTCTGGACCTAGCAAAGAGACAGACAATAAGTTCACAAATGATAAATGAATATCATCCAGTAAATATGTGACATATAATATGTAAGTACGTGTGATATATGTGCATGATACAGGAACCTGTATCACATAAATACATACCATGTTTCATGTACACCTGTATTACATAGATATTTACCGTGTTTTGTGTATCATGGCTGTGGTCCAGCTAGTCTAACAATGGTTGTCTCCTGATGGAAAGGTCAAGAATCTGTTCATTGTTCCGTCCATGAGGCTGCATGTCTCTGCTGGTGTTCAGTCTGTGTTGGAATCCTGAAGAAGTAGGCTCTAATACCAGCTAATTACCATGTCCTTTTATGTAGGCTGCCACCAGATGGTGTGGCTCAGATTTAAGGTGGGTGTTCTTACCTCACATATCCCTGATTCAGGATGGGGTTCCCACCCCGCATGATCCAATCATGAAAAACTCTCACAAGTGTGCCCGGTTGCTTAGGTTTCAGTGGATTCCAGATGTGGTCAAACTGACAACCAAGATTAGCTATCTCAGCAGGCAAGCTGTAAACCTTATAGGAAAGGGGAGACGGAGAAAAGAAAGTCAATCTTTTTTATCTTAGGGTTCAAGAGAGCAGGCAGGTGCAGCAATGGAGGTCAGCAAGCAGCAGGGCAAAGGGCAGTGGAGATGGGATGGAAGGGGTGTTGATGGGGATGGGAGAAGGCGGGAAATGGATGCCTTCAGCAAAAGAGGAGAATATCCAGAGGGTCAAGGAAGGAGACAGTCAAGTTAGGGAAGGCCAGTGCGACTGCTCGGTGGGTAAAGGCACTCGTCAAGTCTTCCCATCGGTGTTAGACCCCTGGAACCCACATGGTGGAAGGAGACAACCAGCTCCCACAGGTTGTCCTCTGGCTGCATGAACACACTCAAGTGCGTGTCCACGCACACATGCTAAATAAACCAGTGTACAAATTTTTAGTCAAAATGGGGCCAGAAAAATGGTCAACATCCTCATAAGAATATATGTGAAGGCAAAAGCACAAATGCACATGAAATAAAAATAAATACAAAAAAGAAAAATAAAGCAAACAAATAAACGAACCTTCTGGTCAATAGAATAGAATCTTTGACCCAGAGAGTGATCTAACATTCCAGTTGGGCTGTGTCATTCTCTCCACCAGGCCCAGAATGGCAGGTTCCTCTTAAGATATAAGACAGACCAAATAATAAGTCATTTATGGAACCGAATAGAAGACCCGGGTATCAATCCACACATCTCCGAACACCTGATTTTTGACAAAGAAGCAAAAAATATCAAATGGAAAAAAGAAAGCATATTTAACAAGTGGTGCTGGCACAACTGGATATCAACATATAGAAGAATGAAAATAGACCCATATCTATCACCATGCACAAAACTCAAGTCCAAATGGATCAAAGACCTCAACATAAAACCAGTCAATTGAACCTTATAAAAGAGAAAGTGGGAAGTACACTTGAATGCATTGGCACAGGAAACCACTTCCTAAATATAACCCCAGTAGCACAGACACTGAGAGAAACAATTAATAAATGGGACCTCCTGGAACTGAAAAGCTTCTATAAAGCAAAGGACACAGTTAACAAGACAAAATGACAGCTTACAGAATGGGAAAAGATCTTCACTAACCCCATATCAGTAAGAGGTCTAATCTCCAAAACATACAAAGAACTCAAGAAATTGGTCACCAAAAGAGCACATAATCCAATAGAAAAAAAAAAAAACTGGAGTACAGATCTAAACAGAGAACTCTCAACAGAGGAATCTAAAATGGCTGAAAGACACTTAAGGAAGTGTTCAACATCCTTAGTCATCAGAGAAATACAAATCAAAACAACTCGATAGGCTGGAGAGGTGGCTCAGTGGTTAAGAGCAGTGGCTGCTCTTCCAGAGGTCCTGAGTTCAATTCCCAGTAACCATATGGTGGCTCACAACCACCCATCTGGTGCCCTCTTCTGGCCTGCAGGCAGACATACAGACAGAACACTGTATACATAATAAATAAATATTTAAAAAAAAAAACTCTGAGATTCCATCTTACACCTATAAGAATGGCCAAGATCAAAAACACTGATGACAACTTATGCTGGAGAGGTTGTGGAGAAAAGGGAACACTTCTGCATTGCTGGTGGGAATACAAGCTGGTACAACCCCTTTGGATGTCAGCGTGGCAATTTCTCAGAAAATTGGGAAACAACCTTCCTCAAGACCCAGTAATACCACTTTTGGGTATATATCCAAAGGATGCTCAATCGTGCCACAAGGACATGTACTTAACTATGTTCATAGAAGCTTTGTTTATCATAGCCAGAATCTAGAAACAATCTAAATGCCCCTTGATCGAAGAATGGATAAGGAAAATGTGGCACATTTACACAATGGTGTACTACACAGCAGAAAAAAAATAATGACATCTTGAATTTTGCAGGAAAATGGATGGAGCTAGAAAACATTATTTTGGAGTGAGGTAACCCAGACACAGAAAGACAATTATCACATGTCCTCACTCATAGGTGGTTTTTAAACATAAAGCAAAGAAAGCCAGCCTACAAACCACAATCCCAGAGAACTTAGACAACAATGAGGACACTAAGAGAGACTTACATAGATCTGATCTACATGGGAAGCAGAAAGTAGAAAAAGACAAGCTCTCCTGAGTAAATTGGGAGCATGGGGACCTTGGGGGAGGATTGAAGCGGGGAGGGGAGAGGCAGGGAGGGAAGCAGAGAAAAATGCAGAGCTCAATAAAAAGGGGAAAAAAAGTGATTTAACGGGATACTGTATTTCCTCCCCAGAATCCCTGTCTGCAGTGCAGTAGCTTAGAGGCCACAGCAATTTAGGGGTATATGTCAACCCGGTCTTCTGAATTATTCAGAAAAGCATAGTGACCCTTCCTTTTCTTCCATCTCTTTTTAAGCACATTTTCCTTAATACCTTGGACTTCCCACACAAACACACAATGTTTTGGACTTTCTCTGAAGCATTTCACCCTGCTCTGTGGTTGCTTGTCAGCCGTGTGTCTAACCTCCATGCCCGTATAAACGGCAAGGCTTTTTGTCCTCAGCTCTTGTGTCTACCTCCGCTGGGTAGCAGCTGCTGAGGTTTGCAGCTGACCTGACCTGGGGTTTTCTTTTAAACTCTGATAAAATTGTCCTTGACCATCTATTTGAATCTATTCTCCCCCCACACACATACCTCTTTTTCTCTCTCTTTGGTTTTTTGAGACACAATTTTTCTATGCGGCCTTGGCTGTCTTGGAGATCACTCTGTAGACCAGGCTGGCCTCAAACTCACAGAGATCTCCCTGCTCTGCCTCTCCAGTGCTAGAAATAACGGCGACCACCACCACAGCTCAGCTGAGTCTATTCTCAGATTCTTTTATTAGTGAGACTAAGAAACTCAAAAGCTGGGACTGGAGAGATGACTAGGCAGTTGAGAGCCCATGTTGCTCTGGCAGGGCACCCAGGTTCAGTTGCCAGCACTCATGTGATGACTCATAACTATCTATAACTCCATTTCCAGAGGATTCAAAACCCTGTCCTGGCCGCCATAGGTACTGCACACACATGGTGTGCGGACATACATGCGGATAGAACACTCAGACACATATAATAGAAAGAACGAAAATTCAAGACAGAAATAGAAATCCCCTTTCTACCAGAAACTCCACAGCCACCATAAGTGGCACAAACCCAGGTTGAGAGTGGATCTCAACCCTCACCCAGGAGCTTCTTTCTAAGTAGGTGAATGTACGGGGTTCAGGAAAGAAACCAAAAGTAAAGCTCTGTGGGTGAAAAGGGAAAAGTTTGTTCCAAATTACCATAAACAGAGAAAGTGGGAGTGGGGCTGCGTCTCCAGGGTTCTAAGGGAAGGAAGGGGTACCTGGGAGGAAGGAAGCCTGTGAGCTGGTGTGAGAGGCTTTGAAGTGCAGAACAGGCGCTCAGAGGCCCTTGATATGCTAATAGCCACCACAGGTATATGTGGGTGGAAGAGTCAGGCATCCCCACCCCACCTTTGCCCAAGATAAAGATTCCTTTTAGCAAGTAGGAACTATCTTCTTAAGTCACTGAGGGAATGCTGGCTAAATGCCAGACTTGGGAGGGGTGGGGTGGGATTTCTCGGGACCTGACAAAGGAGGACTTGGCACAAAACCACAGCTAGTCAAAATGAAGAGAATGACTGTTGGATGCAGAGCCACTGACACATGAATAGCGTAACAACATGGTGCGGGGGCAAGGCTGGCTGTGGTAGGGGACAACATGGCAGCCTAAAGATCTGTACAATTCCAACACAGATGACATCCAAACATAGATAGGGAAAGCTCACGGGGCTCCTCCCCTAGATGGAGCTATAATCCATTAACAACTGCCGAAAAACGGAGAATTAGTCTTCCCCTGGGACAAGCCTCAGTGTGACATGGGAAAAAACAAACAAACAAGCAAAATACCTCTAAACAATTCCATGGCAGTCTGGTTAAAGCAAGCTGTATTTAGAACTGGCCGACCAGCAACCTCTCCCATAGTCGAGATTTCAGAGAGTACTCCTTCACTGGTTTTTGAGGTCCCTTTTATGGGGAAAGGTTAGGGTTGATAGAAAACAGCTGTTGGGATAATTGGCTGTTAGAAGAGGCAATAAAAATAAGAGCAAGGAAACATCCTGTGGAAGGGGAGCCATCAAAGTGTCTGGGAAGACACATTTTAGTAAGGCAAAGGGCAATCTTCTGTCACAGGTTCAGGAATTTAGCAAGGAAAAAGGGTGGGCATACATCATGGGGTCACAAGTTCTGCAAAGGTTGAAAAATGGATTTGCAGATGCTCAGTGGTTAAGAGCGCTGCTTGCTCTTCCAAAGGTCCTGAGTTCAATTCCCAACAACAACATGGTGGCTCACAGCCATCTGTAATGAGATCTGGTGCCCTCTTCTGGCATACAGGCAGAATACTGAATAAATAAATAAATCTTTTTTTTTTTTAAAAAAGGAAGGAATAAAGAAAGTTGGAAGCCTAAGAAAGCAGTCTGTCAGCAGGTTTCTCAGTAGTTTAAGGATTAACCATTAACAGTGGGTTACTTTGCTTTACAACCCATAGCTCTGTCTGCAAGGCTGGAGCAGCCCTCCTCTGCAAACTGAAGGTCCCTCTGCAAACTGAGGGTCAACTTTAGATAACTCCCCAGCTACTCATGACCAGCATCTGATGTGAGCTAAGCTAACTTTTAAATGATGGGATGATGTGACTTTTTGGTTGTGCATTGTCCAATACCCTTCCCTGCTATGCAAAACTGGCAGTATCAGGGGAGTATAGAACTTTGGTAAACACCATCAGGAAATGCCAGAGGGAAACAAGAGGCTAAATACAAACACTAGTTTAAAACAAAACCAAAAAAAAAAAAAAGCAATTTCTGAGTTTTACCTTGAGATTGTAAAAATTCTTTTGTTCATACCTAATGCTTGCTTCTTGCTATAAAAAGGGGGGCGTTGAGCAGCTCCCCGTGGTCACAGTTCCAGAAGCCCATCCCCTGGCTGTGGTCACAGCTACAGCTGACAAGCTTTGTGTGCCCCATGGCAATTTCTTTTATTTTCCTGAAATAAAGTTTGTTTCTGGTTTAATAGACTTTGGTGGTCTGGCCCCCATCATTGCCCACCTGTGCCCAGACCCAAAAATTACTATGCTTAAGAGAGCCATGAAACAAAAATGCCTCTCTTCTACATGCCCCTTGCCCAAGGACAGATAGTTCCTGAAATGCTGGAGGCTATCATTTCCGGGAGATAACAAGTCATAGGCTTTCACTCCCGGGGAAGTTTGCTTGACCTATCTGCACCCAATGTGCTTTTAATCACACATGGGCAGGAGGCTCTCAAGCAGGAAATATAACAAGGTGTATGCTTGTCTGTGATTGGAGTTACAGCAGGAGGTATGCTTGCTCCTGACTGGGCCTGATGGGAAATGTAATGAATTGTGGATTTTCCTTCTTAAGTCCTTGCAAAATTTGATTCGGGTCCATTTTCTGGAGAACCAGATATGGACCTGGCCAAAGTCCATCCACCTGGCCAGTATTTAATTAAAGATTGCTTCCAATTTTGCTTTAAATTGTGATAGTGGTTTTATTCTTAATTGGTGGATTTATATCAACACTGAACAGACTCAACAGGTTGTGTTTCTATATTTATTCATGTATATGTATGTGTAACAACAATGGCTAAAAAGAGGCCCCGTGAATTTGGGAGGGGCATATGTGGGAGGAGTAAGACAGAAAATAGAAATGACGCAATTGTATTTTAATTAGCCAAAAATAAATAATAGCTGGGCAGTGGTGGCACACACCTTTAATCTCAGCACTGGGGTGGCAGAGGCAGGCAGATCTCTGTGAGTTTGAAGCCAGCCTGGTCTACAGCACGAGTTCCAGGACAGCCAGAGCAACACGCAGAGAAACCCTGCCTTGAAAAACCAAAGCAAACAAACAAACAAATAAATAAAAAGCTAGGTGTGTCGGATCTAATGAGAGTTTACCAAGGCCAGATGGACCGTGACTGAACGAGCATGTGATCCAACCAGATTCTCTGAATGTGGCCGGATTTTCTGAATGTGGCTGGCCTGCAGTCTTTCCGAGAAGCCATTGGCAATGACACTGGGACTGGTTTCCTCTGCATATACAGGATTTTTGGGATCCAGTCTGTTTGGATGCTCACCTTCCTGGACCTGGAGTGAGGGGGGAGGAACTTGGACTTCCCACAGGGCAGGAGACCCTGACTTCCCTTGGGGACAAAGAGGGAGGAGGAGAGGGAGGGGGGAGTGGGAGGGCGTTGGGAGGAGGGGCGTAAATGGAAACTTTTTATAATTTAATAAAATTACTAAAAAAAAAAAAAAAGCTAGGTGTGGTGGTGTACATCTTTAATTCCAGCACTCAGGGGGAAGAAGTAGTTGAATCTCTGTGAGTTTTGAGGTTAGCTTGGTTTTCTTTTCTTTTTTTTTTTTTTAAGATTTAGTTATTAGTTATATACAGCATGTTTTCCTGCACACCAGAAGAGGGCATCAGATCTCATCACAGATGGTTGTGAGCCACCATGTTGTTGTTGGGAATTGAACTCAGGACCTCTGGAAAAGCAGTCAGAGCTCTTAACCTCTGAGCCATCTCTCCAGCCCCCTTAGCTTGGTTTTCATAGCAAGTTCCAGGCCAACCACTCAAAAAATAAAATAAAAATAAAAGAGTTTCTCTAAATAGGGGAACCAGCCTAAGGGAACACCAGCCTAAGAGGGAAGGGCACCCAGCCTTTCACAGCCAACTGGCTTCTTTCACAGGCTGGCTCTGATGAAGCTGTTTTCAGACTCTGCTCTCCTGCCACAGGCGGTCACTTGGCATGTCTCTTTCTGACCTCTACTGTCTCTATCCAAACGTGCTGCCACATTGACTTGTCCTGAAATTCTTTTCTGCAGTAACTGAAGGACCTCACTTTACCTGGGTGGTGGTCTCTAAGATGGAACTGGGCCTCCCAGGCCTAACACTGGGCTTTGTCTCCTGACAGCCACTGATAGTCATTGCTGCTATAGGTTGGGGAGGGCAGCAAAGTGCAGGAAGGGCTGGAGAGACTAAAGCTAAGGACTTCTGACTAATAAAGGCTCTGGGGAGATTTTCAAAGAGAAGGGAGAAAGAAAGGGAATATGTGAGGGAAGGGAGTAGCTTGGAAAACATCAGATACTAAAGAAGCCTGAATGGAAAATGAAAAATGAAGAGTTGACAGCTGATATGATTTGGTGGGAGAGGAACCTTGGCGGGCCTAGAGGCCACGCGGCGGGGAGAGACAGACACACCAGGCAGTTTCTCTGTCTCTCTCTCTCTTTTTCTCCTTTTCTGCCACTCCTGTCCCCAGAGGCCGGTCTCTTCCCTCCCCTCTTCCCCTTTCTTCCCCTTTTCCATTCCCTTTCTCTTGATAAAACTTCCCATGGAAGTTCTGTCTGCCTGGTATGTCGGTCTGTCTGTCTCTTATCCCCTGGAGGGCCCCTTGGCCTGCCAAGGTCTCTCTCCAGCCAAAGGATGTCAGCAGCTCCTCCGAAGGGCTGAGAAGAAAGTTTTATTGTAGATGAGGAGGAGAGTTCAGTCAGAGGCATCGGGAAGGGTCCGACTGAAGTGGGCCAGCAGAATAAACCGGGACATGACTGGAGAGCACATGACAACCAAGAGACCAAGACAGCTCGGAGCCAAAATGTCTGGGTTAGATGGGAATTAGAGAAGCTGGGAAACAGAAGGGAAGAGAAGGGGCTAGAGAGGTCTAAGATGGGGGTGGGGTATGTCAGTCAGGATTACTCGGCACAGATACTTAAGGGTAGAGACTGGGGGAGCCCAGAGGCTAGCATAGACCTTGATATGCTAATAGGCACCGTGGTCTTAAATTAATGGAGGAGCCATAGCTCCTTTGGCCATAGCTAAGGGGAGTGACTCCATTTAGCAGATGAGACCGATCTTCTCAAGTTCCTGAGGCTTTTGTCTAAATGCCAGACTTTGGGAAAATGAATTTCTTGGGACCTAACAGGTGGTGCCTGTACAATAGGAGAGGGTGGGTAACGGATTGGAAAAGTAAGGCATGCAAAAAGTATTTAGGGTGCAGTCAGGTGATATAGCCAGCTGCAAACCTCTGGTTAAACAGGGCTGTGACCTAACCCTCCTCGCTGGGTGGCACTGGAGTAGCAGGAGTCTCTACCGTGGGTCCAGGAGGCCTGGTCTTGACACCAACCATTGGTGGCAGTGGGTTGTTGGTGGAGCGGGGACAAGGTAAACAGACTTTGATCTGGGCATCTGGACAGCAGAAACAGATTCTGGAGCAAGTGAAGCCCAGGCTCTGACTGAACTGGTGCACACAAACACGGAGTCTGGGGCAGAGCAGGAAACTGAGAGGCGGACAAGATAGGCCCAGGTCCTGCCAGGAAAGCAGGCAGATGGCGATCAAAAGGGTGGGGTCCTCAGCAAAGGGAAGGGCAGTCCAAGAAGACAGATCGGTGTCCTTTATAGTAACTAAACGTCACTGTAGAGAGGGATCTCAGGCCCCACCTGCTCTTGCACACGTTTTAGAGCCAAAGCTGATCCCAATTCTAGTACGATTTGACTCAGGGCACTCGCCCCAGAGACCACAACATTTTCCCCAGGTTCCGCCTAGAGTCAGCCCCGCCCACCTGCCACGCGGTAGGGTCGCTTCTCCTTCCTCCCGCCAGGCGCTGCTAGCACGGAGCCCACAGAGCCTTCTTACCTCGGGGCTCGCACTGCCTGGAGTTGGACTGCGGTGAGTTACTAAACTGCCCGTCCCCGCCTCCCCTGCCCACCCCACCCCTTTCCCCAACCGGCCCTCACCCTCTTCCACCAAATACTCTAAAAAATTCACTTTCGTCGATCCTTCACTCCCATGTCTTCCGTCCTTGTCGGTCAACGAGCTACCCTCCTCTCCGCCCCCACCCCACCCCCCACACTGACTTCCTCTTTCCTTTCCCCAACCAAGTTTCGCTCCTTCTCAGTTAGGGCCCTCCGGCCACCACCACTCCCATCACTGTCCTCCACCACATCCGGTTCCTCCTCTCCCACCCCCATGGCCCCCCCCCCCCCCCCCCCAGCTCCTGATTCCTCTGCTTCCACTGTCCGGCCTCAGGAAGCTTCCTATTTGCACTCTCAGCTCTTCCTACCTCGGGAAGATGGGTCAGGACCTCGCGAGAGGGAGACCTTTTGCGGGTGCTGAGGCAGCTGGTTTGCAAATTCAGTTGCATTCCTCTTGAGTTAAGGGTGTGTTCTCGGTGCAACTCCTAAGTGGAGGCTTTATAAATACTGCTCCCCTAAACTAGCCCCTCACGCCCGTCACCGTCTATGG